AAAAAAACCCCCCAAAACCCCCAAAAAAAAAACCCCCCCCCCCCCCCAAAAAAAAAAACCAAACAGAAAAGAATGCATGACTTAATCTCAGATATAGTTTACAGCCCAAGAGTCTTTATTTCACAGCACAGGAAAGATCCAGCTTTTGGCTTTCATTTACACACTCCAATACTCAGCAAGGAAAGGCTGTTTCAGCTGTTGCTATTTCAGTATTCTTTAACTATATTCTTAAGTATTCAGAACCAAACAATCCTTGGAACTATTTTAATGACACTGAAGGGAAGAAGTAGGTGCACTATTAAAGGCAGAGTCTACTCTTCACCCTTTGTAGCTGACCCTTTGTAGATGTGGCAAGTGTAATCTGAATCACGATCAGATCCACATTTCCCACCAGCACCAGAAGAACAGGGCAGAGAAAAAGGAAAACCAAAGGACACAGTGGCTTGAAAAGACTGAAATGATGTGGGTGAACAGTTCTTTGTTCAAAGGTAAAGTTCAAGGTGCTGGGGAAAAAAGCACCCCAAACCAGCCAGGAAGAACAAAAGAACAACTTAAGTGATCAGTTAGAAAACTCAACATTTAAGCTGTAAAAGCAGATAACATTAAGCTCTTCTCCCTCCCCCACCAAAATAAGATGCCGTATTAGAAGTCAATTCCTCTCCTCCCCTACTATACCTACCTTCATTATGTCTGCCTTTTGTTAAGAGAACACTGATGGGTTCATTCTGATCCTGCGGTCCTAGGTACTCATGTTGATGGTGTATGTCAGGCGAAGGACTTCGGGAATGAAGCCTGTCCCGACTTTGACTCCTCACTTCCCTCCCATATCTACGATCAGGTTGAGATCCATGACTATAACTGGGTGGGCTGTAGTCTCCTCTGTAGTCCCGTTCATAGACACCATCCCTGTCGATGCTCCTTCCCCTGCTCCGATCTCTTCTATAGTCTCGATCCAAGCTCCTGTCAACACTCCTACCACGACTTCGATCATGGCTGTAGCTGCATTCCCTGTCACGGTCTCTGCTTCGGTTACGCCCTCTGCCTTGCTCATCTCTATAGCTCTGATCCAGGCTGTTTCCCCAGCTTTGGCTGCGCCCGTCATTACCGCTATGCCAGCTTCTGTCGCTATAGCCACTTCGAGCGCTTTTGCCATCAAATTCTGCATGGTCATCCATTACATCTAAAGCTCTGTCCTCTGAGTCAAGGGAAGGGCTTCTTTTCAACCCAGCAGCCTGCACTTTCCTTGGTCTTTTCACTACCTGTTCAGTGCAATACAAAACAAACAAACAAAAACCCCTCCAATGGTCAGAATGTGAACTTCAACAGATGAATATTCTTCACACTTTCAAATGGGGGGGGGGGGGGGGGGGGGGCGGCAGTACACTTTAGGTCGTCTGCGC